TTTTTTTATAATAAAACAACAAGTATCATGATAGTGTATTTTTGCTTCCAATCCTGAATAAATGACTATCCTTATTGCAATAAATATAAGATAACAAAAATAATACAAGTTGACTATAAAACAACAAAACTCCAACAAAACMGCTTCATTACTCAACGCAGCGTTTGCAGTTTTTCACACGCTGGTGTTTTTATATTTTGAGCGGCTTGAAATAATTCCTTRTCACCAAAATTCCTAGCCTTCCAAATCATCGAATCACCTARAAAAACAACTTTCAAAACWCCGACYAATCAASACACCAATYCGTACGATAATTTTTCTCCCTATAACAGGCATGTCTTAAATTCGAGACATACTCCTCCTCCACCGACATTTCAAGCCTTCGAACCGACCCTTGAAACTCCGTTGCGAAATTTTCTTTAACATAATATGGAATTTTCAAATTTGCTGTTTGTCTCATGATTGGGTATTTCCTGAATAAACACTMAAATATTTTTGCGAAATACGRCGAAAATGACTTACGCATGCGCTTGCAGACTGTATGGTGGATCAGAAACGAAGAAACTGGAYGCCATGGACAAAACAATCGCCAAAATGATCGGCAAAAGCTGCACAAAGGCTGAGTAGTTGTTTTGCTGCAAACAAAAATCAGATTTTTTTCTAATTCAGTGTTTCTCACTTCTCTGTGATGGTGATTATGGTGAGTTTCTTGCGACCCAGCAGTCTGTCTTTGCCACCGCCCTCCTCGTCTCACGTACACATTTGCCCCGTTGAAACCACCACCGAAAAACATGTTGAAAATCTCGTCAGTGGCATCAGCATCAAACTCYCTGAATGTGTTCGTGTAGTGAGWTCTTGACGAAAGACGCTCATCTTCAGGACCAAACTGGTCGTATTGTTTGCGTTTCTCGACGTCGGTTAAAACGGCCACAGCATTGCCTATTTTCTTGAAGGCTTCAGCGGCCCCTGGACACTTATTCTTGTCGGGGTGAAACTGCAAGGCCAATTTCTTGTAAGCTTTCTTGATTTCCGAATCGGTCGAGTCCTTGCTAACTCCCAAAATCTCGTAAAAGTCCTTGCATTTGTTGATCTTCTTGACGGCTTCGAGCTGCTCTTGGGTGTACTCGGGGGCCTTTTTGACCTCCTCCGTTTTGGGGGCAACATTACGTTTTCTCGGTTGTTCGGTTTCAATTTTACTTTCCGCCATTAGTTTTATTTGTATGAGTAAGTCTGGAACAGGATTAAAGGACACGTCAGTTATCCTGACTGGAGTTTGACGTTACCTTGGGCTTTTTGTGAAGGATAAAGACGTTCAGCTTTGTGAAGGAATTTCTCGGCCTTCTCGCGATTGCGTTCTTTCATGTAACTTTCGGCTAGTTTGATACACTTTTCAGCTTCGTCTTTGTTACCTTCCATGGCGGACACGAGAAAACCTTCAGTTTGATTGATTTTTGTGATGGTTAATTGAAGGGAAAACAGATGATTTTGACATGTGTCAAAATCCAGGTTGGGAAACGGGAAAAAGTAAAAGACACCGAACTGCAAAATGGCCGACTTCAAACGGACCAATCACAAGGCTCATTAAAATTTAAATTATTATCTAAAATTCACTACCCAACAATTTTATTTTTTTAAATGTGATTGATCTATTGACACGTGTATCAGGGTACATTAACATCCCTAATTACGAATTTGATAAGAAAAATTCTCTATCAGTTACAGGAAAATAGTTTTCTCAAATTTTGTCGTAAAAATTGTTCATTTCAAATAGAAATTAATTAAATAGACGACGAAAGAAATTAATTGATTCACTAAAAAAGAACAAAGTTGAAAAGAAGTATAAGATTCTAACATAAATCTGTTATAGATGAGTTTTTTGCGAAAGCTGACTTTTTTGTAGGGTGTTTTAACTTTCCTTATCAGGAACCACGAGTAATCCCCATCATAGCTGGATCCCATCTCCCTTGGTACCTCTTTTCCATCGTCAATATATCCTGGCGGAACCTTTACCCTTGCTCGTCACTAACAGCACCCAAATTTGGGAGAAAAAATTTAAAAATTAAATGAGAATGAAGAAAATGAATTTTAAGTGTTTCGTTATTCGGAAATTTTGTCGAACATACTTACATATGATGTCTTAAAATGCCTAACTTTAAAATCTGACGTGCTATGGAATTTTCTTTATCATTTTTGAGATTAGCACATAAAATTGAACAAAACAAAAATAATTGTTYTCTTCTCAGTCACAAAATGCTTGAATCGAAAACGTTTATCAACGACCTTAAAAAATGTATTATTACCAATAGTTCATAATTATGCAATTAAAAAAGTCAACAATTGTTAATTCTGTTCAAATATCGTTACGCACAATACAATTAATTAATAATTCACCCAAATTACTACCGCCACTATGAGCAAACTTTACTTAAAGCATCAAAACTGTCAGTTGGTAATCAACATTCAGTCATGTACTTCTTATTATTAACACTAGTCGCACCCTCTTTCGAAATCCATCTACAACCACCTTCAAATACCATAAAAGTGGTRTCAAACATTCTCCAACAATTCCCAGACTATGATTTAATTCTCCATTTCGATAACACAACAACAACATTCCTCGATTCAAACTTCTCTCAAAATCAAGCACTTTATTTAATAAATTACGACCTAATCAGTTACAAAAAACTCCTCAACAGGCCTAAAGGCTACAAATACATAAATCTGGTACTTTTATTAAACTTTCACGATTTTAAGTCATACTCCACTAAAGTCTACAATTTCCATCAATACGACGTCGTTATTTTCATCACCAATGAAATTCAAGGGGACCAAATCTGGAGAATATCGGGGCTGGAACGCGCAGCTGCTATCCTTATCTATACCTCAACCGGACGCATTTTCCACTGTTGTTATTACTGTGGTAATAAAACTGCTATTCTTAAGGAAACCAAAACTCAAAATTTGCAACAACTTTTGAACAATTATTCCAATTTTAATGGACACGTCTTCAAAATCGCTTATGCCAACTATCGCCCATTTTTTTGGGTCATAAATGGGAGACYCCAAGGGGCGGAAGGTCGACTTTTGTRTGAGTTTAGTCGACTTCACAATTTCAAGTACCAGTTGGTGGAGTATCAAAGTCGGCCTGGAAAAGGGGCTTGGCAGGCSATGGTGGAGGCAGTTGAGGCCAATCGAGTGGATTGGGCCCTTGGGGGGCTATCTATAACTCTAGAACGGCAAAAATTCACCGATTTTACCAGATTTATCAAAACSCAAGGATTCGCAATTCTTTACACAGTCTACCACAATAAATGGACCGCGTTTGAGAATTTTTTACTAGTGTTTGGGTGGGTSGTTTGGGTGGTTATTTTCACCCTCACTGTCGTGATTTGCCTTGTTGCAAAAGTGGCAAACGCGAAAGTAAATTTTTGGGAATATGTCCGAATTGTTTTGATGTCGATTGTGGAGCAAACAGTTGGGAAACAAATCAAATTTTTCAAATTGCCATCGAGAATTTTGTTTCTCATTTGGTGGTTAAGTGCTCTGTGTTTGACTTCGATTTATAAAAGTCAATTAGCGTCGTGTTTAATTAAACCCAGCTATAACCAACCCAACCGAATTGATGATTTGGTCAAAATGGATTTTTTGTTTCAAGTCAGTAGAGAGGATTGGAGTGTTTTGAGGGAAAATCTTGAGACCTCCTCCGATAAAATTTACAAAAAATTGTTAAAGAGCATAAGGGATGACTTGGGGTTTTGCGACGCGGTTCTTGCTTTAGATACCGATAAAATTGCACTAATTAATGAGGAAACTACGCTGCAGTATGCGGTAAGTAAACGAAAAATTTATTGTGAATTGAATTTGTATTCCAGAATCTGGGATCATAAGTCAAACATACAATTTTTAGAAGGCTTTGCGACTCTTAACGCTTTTAGTCCATCAAGATTCAAATTTTATAAAAAAAAAACTAAATAATCAACACAAAAATGACTGAAATTCTGAAAAGAAAATTATATATTTTTTGTAAAAATATCTCCAAATCAAGCTTTGACTTAAATTAAATTTGCTTTTGTAGTAATACT